CTAAGCGGTGAGCAAGGCCAGCGAATAGCAAGCCAGAAGGTAAGTTCTGCATGTTTTTATTTAAAAGCAGGAGTACGAGTGATGAGTTGGAGTAGAGGCAAAGCAACCTAACTGCTTAGGTTCAGGCTGAGTCTCCTCTGCCTCGCAGCATCCAGCTTTCCCATGGCGTATTACAGGAAGGCTGCGCCCTTGCATATGGTGCAATAGTGGATGCACCAAGCCAGAGAACATAAGCATCGGTCTGCATCCGCTCAGTCGCGTGAACCAGGACTTTCTCCTCCCCGTCTCAGCACCCTTGATGTTTATTCCCTACCTTCAAAATCCACGTCCCCAACCAGCCTCGATTTGGCAGTGACGGGATCCTGCACTCTCGTTATCCCCACGTCAATAACTGCAGCTCCTTCTTTGATCATGTCGGCCGTGATCAGATTGGGTATGCCTGCAAGAAGACGGCAGAACCACACGCTCATGGTGGTGCTCAGCAAGCCCCCTGCTCCCCCTCACCCCATCTTCACATTATGTTTTGACCCCCCTGGGCCCTCCTGCCTCACAAAACGGTTGGACTTGATAATCTTAAGGGTCTTTTCCAACCCGAATGATTCTATCATTCTATGAAGTGCAAGTCTACCCACAGTTGCACAATCCAGCGCTACCCCTGGAGCGTCAGTCAGGAATTTGAGTGGTTTACTGGTAACCTCAGAGTGCTAAGAGCTGGAATCCACCCCCAGAAAAAAGTTCCAGCAAAGCAGCTGGGACCAAAGCATCCTCTCCAAGTTGAAACCTTAAAGCTTCCATTTGAAGTCTGCGGCTGTGTTTGTTCACGCAGCTCCAGCAGCATTTTTTTGCACCTGCACTAAGTCAGCAAGCTAGAGCAGGGTCCGAGAGCACCGCAACCCAGCTTGGCAGAGGCACTGGCCTCACCCAGGGGCTGTAAAACCCCCAGCGTGACAGGGAGAGAGGGGTGGGGAGCAGCGGCTTGGGGCTAAGCCACCCTTTCAGGGTGGGGTGTGTTTGGTTCTGCCAGATACTGCCGCCTCAGCCGACTGAGCCGAGGAACTCGCTCCCACCCTCCGCTTCGTTAACTCTTTCACTCGAGCCTTCCTCTGGTCTGCTGACCACCTTTGGCCATTCACACATCTGCCGTCATTACGTCCACTGACACCTTCAACACCACTTCTAATCCTTCCAGCACCTTGTCTCTTCACACCCCATCTCCAACCCCCACTTCTCTCCTCCCTCCCCACAGGCTGACTTCTGCCGCCAGTCACCCCGAACCAGCTCAACCCCTCTGCTGATGAGCTACCCCCGTGCCAAGGGTGCAGCCTGGAGAAGAGCACCCCTCCGAGTGATCCCCTGGGCTCGGAAGATGGCCCTGCAGTTGTCCCTCAGCATCTTGGCTGTCCCTAGGTAAGCAGATGCTATCTTGGTATTTTTTTTTTTTTCCTCCTCCCCACATGAAGACAGAACTGTCTGCATGTATAACAGAGCCTGTCTGTAGCTGTTCTCTAGATCTGATCAGGTGCTCGCTGGCACACCAAGCCCTCCTGCCAGATGTTATTTTACATTTCAAAGGCAGAGCTACAACACCTCTAGGCTTAATCACAGGCTGGCTCAAACAGCCCCTCGCTCGCTGTCCTAGCCGACAGCCATGAAAGCACCAGACTCTCCTACGCTGCCAGAGCTGCTGCAGATAGGGAGGCCCCAGGACATTCAATACCAACAGGACTGTCTCCTGCAAGCAAGGATTCCAGTCAGAAACACCAGGCAAGCTGCAGCGCGGCACCCTCTGTGCGCCTTGCCTGCGCTGTTTGAGTCGGGTCTTACCTGCTGCCGCTACCACGATATCGGCACGGATTGTGTGTTGCTTCAGCTGCTCCTTGGGGGTGTAGCGGTGGGATATGGTGACTGTGGCATCGCCTGCA